TGGTTCAGGAAACTACCTGCCGGATGTATCCAAAGGTGGGCAGATTTAGAGAGACTCTTCCTGTCAAGATTTTTTGAAAAGGATACAGAAGTCTTCATCCATACCCTTCTCGCTACTAAGCAGAAGAAAAGGGAGTCCGTCAAAGCCTTCGTTAAAAGGTTCCGAACCATGGCTCTCTAGAGACAATTAATCTCTCAAGGCGAACAGGCTCAGAAGATTATTGCCAGGATCAAAGCTGAAGAACAAAGTGGGCAAGATCAGCCCGAGCAATCAGACAAAGCCCAATCTTCTCCTGAGCAATCGGACCAAGGTCATTCTTCCCAGTTAGAACCAGAAGATACTACGACCACTGAAGCTAATTCTCTTCAGTAGGATGCCGGGTCTCCAATAACTATCACGTTAACAGCTACCTCTGATAGTCAAGCTCGTTAGATTGTGGCCCACTAGGCGACGTGCCATATCTACCCTTTTTCTCCCGTACTTATTCAAGACTGGGGGTTGGTTTATTTGTAGTTCATTGGATTATGAATAATAAAGTTTCTGAGTTGTTATGTTTAATAGAATACCTCTGTCAACCACATAGGATGGCAGGTCCACAAAACTATCACGTTAACATTTACCTCTGATAGTCCATCAACTTGTTAATCCTCTTCAATAGGATGACAGGTCCACTAAAACTATCACGTTAATGATCACCTCTGATAGTCTGCTTTCTCCAAATTCCCCCACCAATCCTCTTCAAATAGGATGGCGGGTCTATCAAAACTATCACGTTAATGATTACCTCTGATAGTCCATTCCCTCCAAATTCTCTTGCCAATCCTCTTCAAGTAGGATGGCGGGTCCACAAAAACTATCACGTTAACAGTTACCTCTGATAGTCAAACTCATCAGATAATGGCCTACCAGGTGATGTGCCTCTATTTCGACTTCATGGATAGTGCCTCACTAGGCGATGTGCCTTGTCTACCTCTTTTTCTTCCCCTGCTAAGTCTTAATCAAGACTGGGGGTTGGTTACTTGGAATCCATTGGATTAAGAGTAACGAATCTTTCACATCGTCGAGTTAACATTACACTTCTGACGATCATCATCCCCACAGAGTATGCATTCAACTTGCATCACTCCCAATTTGTCACGTTAACAATATACCTCTGACAACAATCAACTTATCAATCCTTGACAATAGGATTATAAGTCCTCAAAATTGCTCAAATCGCAATCTTCCCCAGCAAGACACTAAGTCTTCAAAATCAAATTCAAATCACAGGTATCAAAACTCATTGTTCCTGATGATAAACTCACCTAGCAAGTCTCCCCAGCGAGACGCTAATTCCCAAAACCTTGTGCAAATCACAAGTACACATTCTCTTGTCACGTTAACACTAAACCTCTGACAAATTCACTTATCAATCCTCGTCAATAGGATGATAAGTCCACAAAGTTGCTCCAATCGCAACACATTCCTGTCAAGTTAACATCAAACCTCTGACAAAATCCACTTATCAATCCTCATCAATAGGATGATAAGTCCACAAAGTTGCTCCAATCGCAACACACATCCTGTCACGTTAACACTAAACCTCTGACAAATTCACTTATCAATCCTCGTCAATAGGATGATAAGTCCACAAAGTTGCTCCAATCGCAACACACATCCTGTCACGTTAACACTAAACCTCTGACAAATTCACTTATCAATCCTCTCCAATAGGATGATAAGTCCACAAAGTTGCTCCAATCGCAACACACATCCTGTCACGTTAACACTAAACCTCTGACAATCCACTTATCAATCCTCGTCAATAGGATGATAAGTCCACAAAGTTGCTCCAATCGCAACACACATCCTGTCACGTTAACACTAAACCTCTGACAAATTCACTTATCAATCCTCTCCAATAGGATGATAAGTCCACAAAGTTGCTCCAATCGCAACACACATCCTGTCACGTTAACACTAAACCTCTGACAAATTCACTTATCAATCCTCTCCAATAGGATGATAAGTCCACAAAGTTGCTCCAATCGCAACACACATCCTGTCACGTTAACACTAAACCTCTGACAAATTCACTTATCAATCCTCGTCAATAGGATGATAAGTCCACAAAGTTGCTCCAATCGCAACACACATCCTGTCACGTTAACACTAAACCTCTGACAAATTCACTTATCAATCCTCGTCAATAGGATGATAAGTCCACAAAGTTGCTCCAATCGCAACACACATCCTGTCATGTTAACACTAAACCTCTGACAATCCACTTATCAATCCTCGTCAAAAGGATGATAAGTCCACAAAGTTGCTCCAATCGCAACACACATCCTGTCACGTTAACACTAAACCTCTGACAATCCACTTATCAATCCTCGTCAATAGGATGATAAGCCTCCAAAGTTGCTCCAATCGCAACACAAATTTCTGTCATGTTAACACCAAACATCTAACAATCCACTTATCAATCCTCGTTAATAGGATGATAAGTCCACAAAGTTGCTCCAATCGCAACATCCTCCTGTCACGTTAACACTAAACCTCTGACAATCCACTTATCAATCCTCGTCAATAGGATGATAAGTCCACAAAGTTGCTCCAATCGCAACACAAATCCTGTCACGTTAACAACAAACCTCTGACAAATTCAAAACGCCAGGGTCGAAACCCGCGTTACAATATCAAAACGCCAGGGTCGAACCCCGCGTTACAACATCAAAACGCCAGGGTCGAAACTCGCGTTACAACAAGCCAAAACGCGAGTGACCCTCGTGTTCATTGGTGTTCAGCCAACACCCAACCTCGCGTCTCAATTCAAAGACGCGAGGTTAGGGTCCTGAACGCCAACGTTGGCGTTTGACTCATTCAACATGAGTTGAACGGTTCTAAAACCGTTTCCCACGATTTGGGGGCGGTTACACCCCACTTAGGAGAGATTTAAGGGGCGGTTTTACCCCCTTAATCCTCTATAAATAACTGAAGATCAATTCAGTTCGGGGCTCTTTTTTTTGGAGTCGGTTGGATTATCTGGGTTTGGATCGACCACTGGAGAGAGGTTTTTTGAGGAGATCGGCATCATCTTCCAACGAAGATCATCTTCAACTTCAGCAACAGGGAGCCTCTGTCCTTGGCTTATTAACCGATCTTCGGTTCAAATCAACTCTTTTACAGAGTTCTTCTAAACTCGTTCAGAGTTCTCAAACTTGCCACGCAAGTTCTCCACAACGTCAAATCATGAGGAGAAGACATCGTTCCAGTGAATCAAGACGTGCGGATCGTCAACGGAGAGCAAACTCGACGCGAGCATTCGAGGGAGGCACTCCATCGCCACCGTGAAGAACCCAGTTTTAAACAAAGAGGAAGAACCAATTTCGTTCTCCTCTCTTTTGTAATCAAGTTGTAATCAGAATCAAAGGAATCCAAGTCAATTTTCTTTATTCTCTTCATTGCAATTTTTCCTACATACAGAGGCACATCACCTGGTAGGCCATTATCTAATGAGTTTGACTATCAGAGGTCGAGTGCAGAGAACGACTCATTTACGATAAGGAATCAACAGCTCCAAGATCAGAGTTGAGATCCAAAGTATTCCGAAAATTCGTCCCAGTCAACCGCGAACTTTCGAAAACTTTGGAGGGGGTTCTGTAGGCTGTCAAAAAAATCACAATAGATAGCTGATCCCCATCAAACACCGATGATGGGAGTTACAATCTGACGACTTCCAGAAGGCTACAATTTGAAGACTTTCACGTAGATCGCTGAAGGTTACAATCTGACGACCTTCACGACAACTGATGGAAGCTCTACTTCAACAGCCTTCACAATCAACATCGGGAGTTACAATCTGACGACTCTCATATTCTCAAGGAGCCAAGACGAAGATTACAAGACAATGATCTTTGCAACGCTATGACAAAAAGAGATTACTTGGTGATAATCTCTGCAAGGCAAGACGCGGAGGTCCTCCCCGTGTTCAAACATCAAAACGCCATGGTCGAACCCCGCGTTACAACATCAAAACGCCAAGGTCGAACCTCGCGTTTCAACATCAAAACGCCAAGGTCAAACCCCGCGTCACAACATTAAAACGCCAGGGTCGAACCCCGCGTTTCAACATCAAAACGCCAGGGTCGAACCTCGCGTTTCAACATCAAAACGCCAAGGTCGCACCCCGCGTTACAATATCAAAACGCCAGGGTCGAACCCCGCGTTTCAACATCAAAACGCTGGAGTCGGACCCGCGTTACAACAAGCGAAACGTGAGCGACCCTCGCGTTCTGGATGTTCAGTCAACACCCAACCTCACGTCTCAATCCTAAGACGTGAGGTTAGGGTCCTGAACGCCAACGTGGGCGTTTGACTCATTCAACATGAGTTGAACGGTTCTAAAACCGTTTCACACGATTTGAGGGCGGTTACACCCCACTTAGGAGAGATTTAAGGGGCGGTTTCACCCCCTTAATCCTCTATAAATAACTGAAGATCAATTCAGTTCGGGGCTCTTTTTTTTGGAGTCGGTTGGATTATCTGGGTTTGGATCGACCACTGGAGAGAGGTTTTTTGAGGAGATCGGCATCATCTTCCAACGAAGATCATCTTCAACTTCAGCAACAGCTTTTATCCTTGGCCTATTAACCGATCTTCGGTTCAAATCAACTCTTTTTCAAGAGTTCAAACTCGATCAGAGTTATCAACTCATCAAGAGTTTTAAACTTGCCACGCAAGTTCTCCACAACGTCAAATCGTGAGGAGGAGACATTGTTCCAGTGAATCAAGACGTGCGGATCGTCAACGGAGAGCAAACTCGACGCGAGCATTCGAGGGAGGCACTCCATCGCCACCGTGAAGAACCCAGTTTTAAACAAAGAGGAAGAACCAATTTCGTTCTCCTCTCTTTTGTAATCAAGTTGTAATCAGAATCAAAGGAATCCAAGTCAATTTTCTTTATTCTCTTCATTGCAATTTTTCCTACATACAGTATCATTTACAGGCTGAGAGATAACCTATCTTAGTTCCAGCTTTTCCTGTGCATCCTTACTACTCTGTCTGTTAACAGGCACCCATTTCTTTGTGAAATTGTGCCTTCTACAATTTTCAGTTTCATGTCCAACAACTTTACATAATGAGCACCATCTTGGCTTGAATTCATATATCACTTTTTGATTATGATTTTTGCCATCAGGACCTTGAATAACAATCATATCAGGTAAGGCTTCTTTCAATGGCAGTTCAATTTCCAAGAGAACCTTAGCATAGCTTAACCTTTGCCTTGTAGCTGTGAGCTTATCAGTTGTGATAGGATTACCAATAATGCTTACAATTTTGCTTATACCAGTTGGAGTCCACAAATTCAATCTCAAGTTTGGGAATTGAACCCACATTGGATATGTGCATGTTTGGAATTTTTCCATATCAGTGTCAATAGACCAAGGTTTAAGGACCATCGGCCTAGCTCCAAAGAACCAAGGACCAGCTTCTAAAACCTCAAGTATTTGCTTTTCAGATTGAAAATCAAATAGCAAAATTCCTTGTTTTATCAGAGAAATTGTCGGAATTGAGATCTTTCCCCAATTCTTATTCACAAACGATTCCATGGATTTGAACCTCACATTAAGTCCAATGACATAACCATTTAAGGCATGTTTCTAATAAACCTCTCCTTTCTTCCATTCATCATTAGTAAATGTAACAACATTAGATTGCTCAGATTGGACAAAATTCAAATTAAGACCATTTCCAGATTTTCTATTATCCGTAAATAGACTAGCAAAGGTTTTCTTGATTTCTGGAGCATTTTTATTCAAGATTCCTTCATTTTCTTGATCTATACCTTCGGTCACTTCTATAACCTCATGATCTTGAGTAAGATGTTCCATATCAGTATTATTATCAATAGATTTACCATCAATCAAATTATAATCTCCATTAACAGCAACATTAGGCATAGGAATCTCAAGCAAACCAAAATCATCAGCCCAAGGTGTCGATGAAGACTTACTTAGATGTTGAGAAAATATAGTACCAGATCTTAATTGAGATGTTTGAGGATTCAATTGAAGATCAAATCTCAAATTGAGAAGTTCAAAGTTCCGATTGAAGATCAGATCTCGCCAGAACTTCAGAAATCGGTGTTTTCTCTGTGCTCTCCATCTCAATGGAGATCGAAGAACTCTTCACTGCAGCAGATCTCAATTGAGATGTTAGAGGATTCGATTGAAGATCAGATCTCAATGGAGAAGTTCAAAGATCCGATTGAAGATCAGATCTCACTAGAACTTCAGAAATCGGCGTTTTCTTCTTAGCTCCTTTTGGTCCTGTGCTCTCCATCTCAATGGAGATCGAAGAACTCATCCCTGCAGCAGATCTTCCAGCTCTTGAAGATGAAGAATACTCAAATAAAGAATCTCTCAGCTCCTTTGCGATGATTTCTCTATCTCCTTTCTTCTTCTTCCTCATTTGTTTCTTGGCGGGAGCGCAAGTTAGAGAAAAATTAAAGGGAAAGGAATATCACTCCTCTCCCTCTATTAACTCAGTTGGTTTTACCAGTGTCACTAGAGTTGCTAAAAGAGCTGCTATGAGTGCTGATACATCAATACAAGCATCACTTTTCTCTGTGCTTGATCATCAAAATTTTGATTTGGATCCCTCTATCTCTGATAGGGGGGAACATCTCTTTAAAAATGTAACTAGCTATATGGAATATTAGAGGGTTCAACAAACCCTCTAAGCATGGGATAGTCAAGAAGTTTATTCAGGAATACAATATCTCTCTGCTAGCCTTATTACAATGGTGGCTGGAATTGGAAAACTGCAGAAAATTAGGGATAAAATTGCTAAAGACTGAAAATGGATATCAAATATATGTGCAACTAATAAGGTGAGGATTTGGATCCTATAGGATAGTGAGGTTTTATCTATCCAAGAAATTAAATCATCTGAGCAATATATCACTTGTGAGGTGAAATCTAAAGATGGGAAATTATCATGTTTAATCATAGCAGTATATGTTTTTAATCAAGTTGAAGGTAGGAAATCTCTATGGGAGGATTTATTATCATTTAAAGGAAATGTGGATTGTCCCTGGCTGGTGGGAGGGGACTTCAATGCAATTATTAACAGTGATGAAAAGATAGGTGGTATCCAAGCAAATGATACTGGATCTGATGACTTTCATAATTTTATTACCTCTAGTCAGCTCAGTAACATCAAAACCACAGGCTGTTTCTATACATGGAGTAACAAGTAGGATTCAGAAATAAGAATCTGGTCTAAGCTGGATAGGATTTTAGTCAATGAGGACTGGATCCTTAATCACACAGCAAGCCAAGCTGAGTATCTGATACCCCTATGCTCAGATCATTCCCCAGGGCTGATTACAGTTGATGATCATAAATATGAAGGAAAAAAAGCCTTTCAAATTTTTTAACATGTGGGCTAAGCATCCTAAATTCCTGAATATGGTGAAAGCTATTTGGAACAAGGAGGTTAGTGGATATAACATGTACAGGTTCTACACTAAACTCAAAAACCTCAAGCCTATTCTTAAGGACCTGAACAAAAAGCACTTTATATCAGTCAGCAAGTGCTTAGAACAAAATCTGAACTATGTGACATTCAAACGAAACTAAACTCTGACTTATTCAATTCAGTGCTAATAAAAAAAGAAAAGGATTGTATCAAGCAATATACCAACCTGTTGGATTGTGAAAACTCATTCTATAAGCAAAAAAGCTAACATCAAATGGGCTTTGAATGCAATAAGAGTACTCAGTTATTCCATTCAGTTATGAAGTCTAAGAGGCATCAAAATAGAATCTTAACTGTATATACTGAAAATGGCCCTAGAATAACTGATATGGATGGAATAGTATCAGAATTTGTCGAATACTATAGCAAGCTTTTTGGTAATGAGAATGCAACCTCTACCCCTGATCCTAGGGTGATCTCAAATGGTCCAATTCTTTCCTCTACACATTGTGCTGAACTGAGCTCTCTAGTCTCTAAAGATGAGATAAAGCAAGCTCTTTTTACAAGGTCTGATAACAAAGCTCCTAGGCCTGATGGATTTAATGTTTTCTTCTTCAAATCTGCATGGGATGTCATCAAGGATGACCTGTTTCTGGCTATTGAAAAGTTCTTCACATCAGGTAAACTTTTGGGCACTCTCAACACTACATCAATCACTTTGGTGCCAAAAATCCTTAATCCAAATACTGCAGCAGATTATAGACCTATTTCCCGTTGCAACGTCATATACAAAATCATCTCCAAAATCATTGCTAGCAGGTTGCAAAAAGTAATTGGTTATCTTGTTAATGAAGCACACAGTGCTTTTGTTAAAGGAAGGCTTATATCTAGTAATTTCTTATTAGCGCATGAGCTTATTAAGCATTATGATATAAAGCATAATTCTCCTAGAGCCATCTTTAATGTGGATTTGAGAAAAGCCTTTGACACCATTAGCTGGGAATTCATAAGAGCTATGCTGGTGGGTTTGGGGTTTCCTAACACTGTAATTGGATGGATTATGGATTATGGAGTGTATCTCAACCTCTAAATTCTCTTTAGCACTAAATGGTGGATTACATGGATACTTTCATGGTGCAAGAGGGCTAAGGCAAGGGGATCCTCTATCTCCTATCTCTTTGTAATTGGTATGGAATACTTATCAAGGAAGCTAGGTTCTCTAACAGCTGACAGGAATTTCAAATTCCACCCAAGATGCTCAAAGTTGAAAATAACACATTTGGTGTTTGCAGATGACTTACTACTGTTTAGTAGAGCTGACTTGTGTTCAATTATGAAGATTTCTGCATGCTTTCAGGAATTCAGTTTGGTCTCAGGATTAGAAGCTAATCCTGAAAAATGCTCAGTCTATTTTAGTGGTATTGAAGATAATCTCAAATATAATCTCAAATACCAGATCTGTGATTTTCTGGGATTTAAAGAAGGAGTGCTTCCAATGAAGTACCTTGGATTGCCTCTAAACACAAAGAGACTCTCATATTTGGACTGTTCTTCCCTTATTGGCAAAATTCAAAATCAATTCCAATTTTGGCAAAAGAATAGGAAACTTTCATATGCTGGGAAACTTGAGATGATTAAATCAGTCATCCTAGGCATTCAGACTTTTTGGATGAGTAACTATATTCTGCCTATCAAGGTCTTGGAAAAAATAGATAACCTTTGCTCTGGTTTTCTTTGGAGTCAAAAAATTCATCTGACTTCCTGGGGTACAATCTGCCAGGGAAAGGAGCACGGTGGGTTAGGAATCTTTGCAGCAAGGGAATGGAACTATGCTGCAGCTGCAAAGCTTTTATGGATGGTGCACCTCAAGAAGGATCTGTTATGGATACATGAAAATTACTTGAAAAATCAAAATATCTGGATTATTCAACCAAGGGTGAATGACTCATGGATGTGGAAAAAGCTTCTTAAAGTGAGATATATATTGGTTAGTAAGTTTGGAAATGTTGAAGGTATGAAGAATACTATAAATGGGTGCTGTTATATTGGCAAGGTTCTCCTCTCTACCATGTACAGATCATTAATTCAGCCAGCTCCACGGGTAATTTGGCATAATACAGTTTTGGATGGTTTTCTGTATCCAAAGCACTCTTTCACCCTATGGTTAACTTGTCATTCAAGGCTTCTCACTAAGGATAGGCTTTGCCGAATGGGGATATTAAACACAAATCTGAGCAATTGTATGCTATGTCAGTGGCAACAAATGGAAACATAAAATCACATTTTCTTTGAGTGTCAGTTTTCGGCTGAAGTATGGAATATGATAATGGATTGGTTAAGGCTCAAATGGAAATCTTGTAACTGGAATCAGCTCCTGAACTGGTATTCTTGCAACCTAATAGGAAGAGGTCCCATGAAGAAATTAAAGAGGATGACTTTGTCGATGACAGTTTACACAATCTGGCAGGAGAGAAATCTTCAAATATTTCAAGGAAAGAAGAGGGAGGCTAAACAGATTGTTCATGCCATCAAATGTTTAGTGTATACAAAAGTTCTGAATGACAGCTCATATGTTCATATATAGGGCTGTCCAAAATACCCGCCGGCCCGGGCCCGGCCCGGAGCCCGGCCCGGGCCCGGCCCGGAGCCCGGCCCGGCCTCGGCCCGGAAAACCGGGCCAGGCCGGGTTCCGGGCCCGGGTCCGGGTGGCCTCAGCGGCGCCCGGCCCGGGCCCGGCCCGGCCCGGTACAGTGCGCCGCCGGGTCAACGCCCGGGCCGGGCAGCCCGGGACCGGAGCCCGGCCCGGGTGGCAACGGTCACCAGTGGTGACCGTTGCCGGAATTAGGCCGGGCCGGCCCCTCTTATACTCTCTCTTATACTCTTATACTCTCTTATTTATACTTTCTAATCCTTTCATCAAATGGCTTCCGGATCTGATTATGAAGAGCAAAACCTATCTCCCGATCCTGAAATGAGTCCTCCTACTATGAGTCCTCCTACTGGGTCTACTCCTACCGAAGTTAATCCCGAATTCGGTGGCGACAAATCTGCACCAAGAGCTCCTAAAAGGCCAAGATCCGATGTGTGGAATTTTTACGAGAAGATCGACGTCACCAAGGATGAACACGGTAGGATCCTCACCAAGAAGGCTAAGTGTGCATTATGCAGCAAGATTTTTCAAGCTCATCATAAGAGCGGCACCAACCACCTCAAACGCCATTTAGATAAACACAACAAAGGCCAGACTCCTCAAGGTGATATCCGACAATCTATGATTTCTCAATCCTCCTCTTCTGGTAATCTCGGTAGTTGGAACTATGACTTGCATTTAAAAATTTTCTCGTCAAACCTGTCAACGTGATATTTTAAAATATTATCAGCAAGAACAAGAAAAAATAATTTCTTATTTTAAAAATTTAAACTGTAAATTTTCTTTAACTTCTGATATTTGGACATCTAGAGCACAAACTGGATATTTATGTATCACAGCACACTGGATTGATGAAAATTGGCAAATGTTTAAAAGAGTTGTTTCTTTTATTGCAATAGAAGAGTCACATACTGGTGCTAATGTTGCAAATTTAATAATTGAAGAACTTATGAAATTAGAAATTTCACAAAGAATATTTTCTCTTTCACTAGATAATGCAAGTAATAACAATGTAGCTGTTGATTTTATCAGATCATCTTTATCATTGCCATGTCATGGTGATCTTTTTCATATTAGGTGCATCTGTCATATTTTAAATTTAATTGTTCAAAGTGCATTTACTAAAATTAAACCTATGATAGAAAAGGTTAGAACAGTTGCTTACATGCATATTGCTTCTGAACAAAGACTTAAAAGATGGAAACAATTTTGTAAAAGAAAAAATGTAAAGCCTAGACTAATTCCAAAAGATGTTGACCATAGGTGGAATTCCACATATGCAATGTTAAGTGTAGCAATAGAATATAAAGACATTATAACTGATTTTATAAACTATTATGCTTCTAGTTCTAGTTCTGGTAGCACTTATGGAATAACTGAAGATGAATGGACAGTTATATGTAATTTAAATGAAATGTTACAAGTTTTTTATGATGCTACCATGTTATTATCTGGCTGTAAACATGAGTCGAACGGTTTCAGAACCGTTTATTCCACGTTCTGAGGGATTTTCACCCACGTAGGAGCGAATATAGGGGTCAGTTACAACCTCCTATCCCCCTATAAAAGCTCAATGAACCCAACAGAGCAGGGGGTTGGATTTTTGGCATCTGAACCACACAGGTTGGATTCTAAAGATCTAAATAAGTACTTTAGGCCTATTCCTCATATTTTTGGTTTGGGGGTTCTTATTGATCCATGCTTAAAGGATATTAGCCTTCGAAGTTTGTTACAGTCATTGTATAGTGGACAGGTTATAGACTTAGATGATGGCACCACCCTTACTGCTACTACTCATCATGTAGTTATTAGAAATTATTTTCAAACCTTATATGATGAGTATGCAGCTAGACATGGTGTAACTACACAACAATCTACAGCTTCGATTTCTTCGAGCTCATCCCGAGGTAAAAGTGTAAGTTTTGATAGGTATGCAATGGTAGCTGAGCTAACTGGTGGATCTGGACTTGGATCGTCTCATCATCGGAGGTTTCTGAAATAGATGAATATTTTTCTGCTTCTTTAGTTAGATGTTAAGGAAATGCTTTAGATATTTTGTAATGGTGGAAAGTATATGGATCAGTTTCATATCCTATACTGAGAATCAAATTCGTTCTCTTCTCTTTTGTAATCAAGTTGTAATCGGAATCAAAGAAATACAAGTCAATTTTCTTTATTCTTTTCATTGCAATTTTTCCTACATACACTACTACTCATCATTTAGTTATTAGAAATTATTTTCAAATATTATATGATGAGTATGCAGCTAGACATGGTGTAACTACACAACAGTCTACAGCTTCGGTTTCTTCGAGCTCATCCCGAGGTAAAAGTGTAAGTTTTGATAGGTATGCAATGGTAGCTGAGCTAACTGGTGGATCTGGACTTGGATCGTCATCATCGGAGGTTTCTGAAATAGATGAATATTTTTCTGCTTCTTTAGTTAGATGTCAAGGAAATGCTTTAGATATTTTGCAATGGTGGAAAGTATATGGATCAGTTTCATATCCTATACTTTCCACAATGGTTCGTGACTTACTAACAGTGCAGGTTTCGACGGTAACTTCGAAATTCGCTTTCAGCACAGCAGGTCGTTTGATCGACGATCACAGGACATGCTTGGATCCGTATACTGTACAAGCGGTGATGTGCTTACAAGATTAGTGGAGGTACGAGAAGCGAACGCAAGACATCGATCAGATGGCTGGAATTGAAGATAAATTTGAAGAATTGAGACTAGCAGATAGATATAAAGAATAGATTGTAGTTTTTATATCTTAGCTTAAAATTTGTAAAGAATTATTTTGGAAATAATTACAAATGATAGTGATATAGGTGAGTAGGTGCCAACCTAGTTGGGATTTACTTATCTATTGTGATGCGATTAATTCCAAAATAAATTTGTACTTGTAATTTGTAAATGATTTATTAGTTATTAATAAATAATTTATTTTTATTATTTTTTATTTGTAATTTTTGTCATTTTAAGTAATTAATAAAATTATTGTTTTTATTATTTTTCTTATCTTTTTTTTATAATTTAAAATTTAAATAAAATTGAAAAATTTTGGAAAAAAATTAAAAAAATAAAAAAAAGAAAATCGGCCGGGCCAGCCCGGAACCCGGCCCGGTCTGGCCCGGGCCCGGGGTACCCGGGTCCGGGTCCGGGTCCGGGTTTTGCCCGGCCCGGGCCCGGATTTCCGGGCCGGGCCGGCCCGTCCCGGATGGACAGGCCTATCGGTAGTCCACTAGAAACTAGGGGTAAAGTCATCTTATCTCATCTAACAAATGGACTGCTAAAAGGGAAGGGGAAAAAAGAGATTGATAATAATAAATTTAGCCGCTGTAAATGATGTAGAACACGTTGCGGATATATTTATGGAGAAGAGGGACTGACACAAGCCCAAACGTGGACCCGGTCGAGAAAAATAACTTGCAACAAAGAACGGGTCATATCTCTCAAACCGTAAGTTGGAATTGGATGAATTATATATGTAAACCACGTATTTTTTCGAGATGAAGTCATTTTAGGTAATGTTTTAGGAGCCTGTTTTGATTAGGAAGTAAGTTCGGTTTGATTCTAAATTTTACAGATTTACTTTCTTAATCCTAGGGAGTTTTTTTAGGAATGAGTTTTGTTATTTCCATTTTTGGTAAACTTTCAGTCATAGTAGGAGTCTTGTTTATTTTCTATTTAAGTAGAGTATTGTAAGCCCTAGAGGCATAATTTTTCATCAATAAAATTCTCTTTTAATATTTTCTTTGTAGATTCAAAGTTCTTCGTGGATTCGGAGATCGTTTTTTGTGAATTCACACCCCTTGGTGGATTCCGAGGTTATCACTTCCATGCTGTGTCAATGATTGAGACATACAATTCTAGAAATGCTATTTGCCTTAAAAAAACATGCAGATCCAAATCCATAGCAGATAAACCTTCTTTTTCTGTACTTACTGAAGTATAGTATCTCTGACTTAATGTGATCAAATTGAGGAGCAAAATAAGGAGAAGTACTGAGTAAATATATAGGGAGAAGATTCCATTAGTTAATCATTTGTTCGGGGAAAGTTAATTAACTTCATGCCTTTGAGGAAGCCACTTTGTTAGTGGATGCTCATCTTTACAAATAGCGGTCAGAGATTTAGAGGGACTGATGTAAACTGTTTTTGTTCATAGATCTCAAGAGACAAAATGATGCTATTGCAGTCTGATGTCAAATTACACTCTTTTCTTTTTATTCTTCTTATCCTATTAGTATTGTTATGACAGTTCTCCAGGAATAAACTAATATTAATCACATAAAAGCATGAAACATATGAAGAAGATAAATACATACGCATATACGTGATTCGGCTTATAGCCTACATCCACAGGCAAAGATGGAGAATAGTTTTACTACATTATGAGAAATACAATACAGAAATCTCTCAATCACTCCATCTTAAATCACACCCTAGAAACCACTTAATCTATCTAACAATCTCTATCACCTGTAGAGCCAATCTAATAGAGAGCCCAATCAAAAACTTCTTGAATCTATTGCTTCAACCTGCTGAGTCTGTCTCAATGCTTACTGTTGTCATTGGGTACATCAATTGCCTGCAACCTTAATAAAGAACCATCTAAT